CTCCAGACTGCTCGCCTTTACTACTTCCTTCACCACTTCCTACGTCGTGGACCTGTTTCCTCCCTTCCCATAGAATTTTAGGAATGCAGATACCTTAATCTAATCGTAATAAACAGTTTCCACACACCAGACTGCTCACCTTCACTACTTCCTTCACCACTTCATACGTCACGGACCTCAAGCTAGTGTCGTCATTTGATTATATTTATGATCCATACCGTTTCTGTTCTAATATCTGTGGAATAATGCTATCAGCTATTTCTTTATCTACTGCATTCAAAAGTCAACAGCTGATCATATGTCTTTGTTTATGTGTCAAATACTGCTTTCATAAGGATTACATTGAAACATTGAGACCCAGTGGGGCAAATTCCTGAGAGACTTTTTTAACGCCATATAGATTTTGGCACTCACCAATATGGTCTTTATTACCATGCAAAATTTGAAAACGATAGATTCAGCCGTCTAGGAGGAGTTTGCGTATTACAAAATGCATAAGAGTCGACGTATAAGAGTTTCGCTCGCTCCGCTCAATAAAGGCAACCAAAAGCAGTTTTCAATTTAAAGAAAGAAACGCATGTATAAACATACACTGATTTTGTTGAAATTAAATATTTACTATTTAAATTTGGGTTGCGTACATATTACAATGTAAAAAAAACATCAAATTGTCAAGGTTTTTTGCTCCTTCTTATCTTTGACATTTAGTGGGTTTAAGTAAAAAAGTATTTAACAACTCAAGAATCTCGTAAAAATCTAAACTATATAATTTCAACAATGTAAGGTAGTTCTTGTTATATAGTATAAGCCAGACAACAGATACAAAGCTACATGGAAACTAAAAGTGCAGAGATTTTACTCCATACATAACACAGCAAAAGATGGGTATTTACTCAGGGGAGGTATAGAAGAGGCTACGATGACAGCTGAGAGCTGAGGGAACGCCATTACCGTAACAAAACGTTCAATAGCCACCGGCCTCGGTGGTCTATTGGTTAGCGTGCCGGGCTGATATACTGTAGGTCCCGGGTTCGAATCCCGCTGGTAGCGTTGACTTTTTGTCCAAGATTTTTTTATTATCAGCAAGTTTGGTTGGTTTGGTTTGGTTATTACAGTTTAATTTTATTATTAAGTCATTATAAAATTTTAATTGAGCAATTTCTAGTTTTATTTAATAAACAGAATTATTTTTCCGATTACTAAACTTTTGTTATATTATTTCTTTATCAGCAAGTTTGGTTAGTTCGGTTAGGTTATGATAGTTTAATTTTATAATTAAAAAATAGTAAAATTGAATTTGAGGCATTTATAATTTTATTTTATGAACAGAACTATTTTTGCGATTAGTAAACCTTCATTGCCAAAGTGCTCTCTACTACAGCGCTGTTCGCGGAGGAATTTTGAACTAAATGCCTCATTTGTACCTCCCCTAAGTCAGACCCGCAAAAGATGTCCTGTCAGTTTGTCAAGTTGTGTGTGTTTAAACATGAAATAATGTCAGCAAATATTAAAAGTTAAAAATATTGAAATTTTTATGAAAGGATTACATTAAAAATACTTCAATTATGTTTATAGTCTATTCTACACTTCACTAACAGTAAGTTGAAGGTTATGTTGAACTACTTTATCTTGGCCCAGTACTTGAAAAACTAATGATTTTAAGTCAATTATGGGCACCACAAATTAACCAACTTCACTTCTTAACAGGTACTTTTTTTCCAGTGCCAGTAAGTAGTATGGCCTCTTCAATAAATAATCCTTGAGTAAAATCTAGAATTTTTCTATTTCTGTAATATTTTTTATTTCCTTTGCGATCTTGTTGTAAATTTCTGTTGTTGACTCTCTACTGTATTGGCAAAGGGGGATCCGCGGGCTCTTATCGCCGCCACTGAAATCTTGTCTTACATTAAATTCATTTAGGTTAATTTTTTTGTATACTGCATAGTTGATTAATGTATAAATTAATTGTCATAATTCTAAGCCTGATGAAAAGAGGTCTTTGTATTGATCCACAGGACCCGCTCCAGAAATGGCCTGAATAGTTTTTTTTCTGTAAAATAAGAATTTCATCTGAATAAAACGAATGCCCCCACAGCATTAGCCCATAGAATATAATGTGACTGAAAAAAGTGAAGTATGCCATCCTTAAATAATCAAAAGTAACAAAATCTTTGAGTTTCCAGATTAGGAAATTGACGCGGGATATTTTTTATAGATGTTTTCTATTTGTTCTTGCCAATTTAATCTAGAATCTATACAAAAACCCAGCAATTTGACTGAATGTTTTTCAATTTCATTGGAAAGACCAATTAATTAAAATATTCTGCGTTTCATCCTGATTACATTCAAGCTTATTCGCCCAAAACTAAACAGAAGCTAGGTTTATGGCTTCATTGGTAATTGCAAAGATTACATATGCTACGCAAAATAGATATTGCACCTTACGGCAATTTTGTGCCAAGTCGTTTTTGGATGGGGCCACCTTCACGTAGTTGGGTGGTCCCTCAACAGAGGCGCTGTGTCAAGTCTCGATCTGCATTACCGGTACCATTCAAATTCGGGTGAGTTCGGTAATGTTCGCGTGCTCGGGATTAACTTGCCTGTATGCAACGCACTCGCCGACCCGTCGTCATCGTATCTCTAGTTTGAAAGCGCACAGCTGTCATTAATGTACCATATCTTTATCTTTTTACAAAAATGTTAGTTTTTTTAATTTAAAATTAAAGTGACCACGTAACAAAGAGCTAAAGAATACTAAAGGTTTACTGATATAAACACGAATTAATAAAAATCTTCAAAAATTGCAGTCACAAAATAAGCTTAATTTGTTATACTAGTTTTTCTGCATTGAATTTTAGCGTACGTTTAGAGAACCCTCAACAATTTAGAAATTTATAAATCTTACAAGTTTTTAATAATTAGTGACTATTTGTGAGTTCGTCGACTTTTCTGTTTTCGGAATTTTTATCCACAAAGTTTGCTTCCGGATTTCTAGACCCACGCAATATCTTGCTACTAACTCACGATGAGGAATGTATGGTTAGTCAACTACTACCTAACCATTCACTAGCCACTTGACCTTTTTAAACATAGCAATGTACACATAGTTTGTAGGAAGAACATTTATCTACACAGATCGGCATTTGTTTTCAAACTACGTATTATCTCGTCACATTATTGGTGTTTTTAAGTGCCGTTTGCAACTGAGCTTTGAAGAAAATGTAGAGCATAAGATATAAAATATAGATTTTAGATTTGGATTGTTTTATATAACAAATCTTTCAACTGACGACTATATAAAATAAATTTAAGACCACATAGTTTTAACAACGGCGGAACCTTAGTTGTACATAAAATAAAGAGGTTATCTTTACCACTTAAAAACTATATATAGGTTGGAATCACACGAAAGTGAACTAACCCGAGTGACCCGACATCCCAATTTACTGGTATGGCCTGTTTTAAACATTGTATTAAACAATACGTCGAATACTTTGTACCGGAAGCCTGTAACTACATTTTACAATAGGCATTTCGTTCGCCATCCCAGTATATTCATGGTAAGTTCCTGGGCATTGCATTGGCGTAGCCAGGTTTGGACTGGAGCGCCCTGGAGCAGAAATTGCCTAACTACCCCTCTCCTAAATTGAACCCTATATATATAGTCTAGGATACTTTATTTCCCTCTCTTAGTGGTCTTCGTTGATAAACACTTAAACCACAACCTACGTCAATTTTCAATTGACAATAAATTACAAATTATTGCATAATAGTATGACGAAGGTAGTTAATAATATATTTCGGAACTCTATCATAACTCTTTTTAGGCAGACTCTAAAGGTAATGAGACATTGACAGTAGAAATACTGGTGAATTTATCGCTATGTGGTGAAGGGGCTGCCGAGAGACGGTGGTGATCGTCTGTAGAGGCAGTATTGAGTGCAGTTGGTACAGCTTCCTTTTTACTTTTCATATTATTTATAAAGCAGTTAGGTTCAAAATGCAGTTCACAAACTAAACGTAAATGTAAAGCAGTGTCGGGAAGGCCTTTCCATTTTTTGATTGCCGTGTTTGCCATTTATCACATACACTTGTCTTAATACCTGGTATTGTTCATGAAAATATCCACATCATAATACAATTGTTATTCACTACACATACTTCTTCACTCTTGCTAAATCCATCTTCTAATAAACCTCCTGTTACTTACATAAGCAAACAACCACAAATAAAGGTTAACCATAACAATAAACAACAACAAAAAATACGTAAATAACAGCTGGTCATGTCGGCAATGAAGTCTTAGGTTGTGAAGACATTCGCTAGGCTTCGCATGGAAATTTATATCACAAAAATGGCTTGGCTGCAATATCTATTTTGCGTAGCATATGTAATCTTTGGTAATTGTAATTTAGGGTATATGCATATCTTTATGGGTACAATAAGCCAGATTGCATCCCACCAACTGAAACATAATGTTTTCTATTACATACGTACGAATAAACAAAACCTAACTGTGCCCACCTAAATTAATGCCATAAAATTTGAGTTTACTAAGCAAAATGTGTGTGTGTTTCATGTGATATTATTATGTTTCTGTGTTATAACGACGCCTTATGGCCGAACGTCTGTCTGATGATGGCACAGTGACGCTGAAACAGCCGTAACCTTTGTTACACTACAGGAGGTGGTTGACTAAGGTAATATTTCGATTTAGTAAAACTGAACTCTAATTGTGAAATTAAGTGGGTTTACAGTATTTTACTGAATGTTTACTATTTCATAGTTTACAGGAGGTGGTTGACTAAGGTAATATTTCGATTTAGTAAAACTGAACTCTAATTGTGAAATTAATTGGGTTTACAGTATTTTACTGAATGTTTACTATTACATAGTTTACTGCTGAAGAGCACTTCTTCGGAAGGGGGGGATGTACACTTGACCCAGATTGAAACAAAATGGTAATAAATGTTAAAACTAGTTATTTCAAATATTTTTTTTTACTTAAACAAAGATACACTAAATATTTGCTCCTTTCTATAAAATATTATCATTATTGCTGATGAGATGGATGCATGACCAGGGATCGTATTCGAAGAGCAGTCTTGAGCGTGTCTGCTGTAACTGGTTGTTTAGCAGAAAACGTCACTTGTGTTTCGTTGTTCACCATTAGAAACCCATTGTGTGAAAAGTGTCCTGCGACCTCGACTGCATCCAACCACACAAACAGAGCGACTGAGTCAGTGACCACAGTCACTATAAACTCTGAGTTGCTCTTTAAACTTTTGATTTCCGAGACCTGTAAAGCGAATCCACAATCAGTAAAGAATAGAAACAAAAGAAAATCTGTAAATCTTTGGCCTGTGCTGATTTTAACTTGATAGTACCTGTACAAACAATAGGGACCATTATACTAAATAATATGCTTAATTGGGAAATCCGTATTATGACCAAAAATATACCCTGTGAACCTTGCAAAACACCCTGCATCGAAATATATGACAAAGCCAAATACCCAGAAGTAGTGGTACTTTGATGACTGAGTAGACTGTTTTTATACACAAGACATGTTCTGGTTTGAAGTGTTAGTTTACAATCTTCTGTAGGCTAAATTAAACCATCGGTTTTGCCTGCTTATAAAGATTTTGACAACTGTAAAACATACAGAAATGTTATACATAACTTTTTTTGAGTTGTACCTGCATTTGTCAATTAAATAAAAATGTATGTGTCACAACTTTAAAATCAGGCAAGAGCCAAGCGAGACTGATGAAACCTTTACAAATGCTGTCAGTGTAACAAGCGTATACAGCCTGACTGATCACTTATTGCAAGCGAAAGAAACTGGCCACTGAAAAAGAACAACATTCCTGGTAGGATGACTGCGTCCTGTCGTCTGCTACATCATAGCATAAAGAAAGAGAGTTATCCCATCCCAATAACCTCAAATCTCATGTAATGCTTTTAAAGATGGGGGATAAGGAAGAGAATTTTATAGGAAATATGGTTTTGGAATTGATATATTCTTCTCGGCCAGGGGTCCATCAGGCCTAACTTAACTTTCCGGATTATTATTTTATGGCTGAACATTAAACCAAACTGATCATTCATAGAAAACGTTTATTAATTTATACAGTAAATTGATTATAGGCCCCTACCTTCCAAGATGGGTATTTGCAAAAGACTACCAAAAAATTAAAATATAACAGCAAAAGGTCAACAGAATAGTTTTGCCATTGCCATTATTGCCCAAATTACTATCATGGTCATGTTTCTTGACTTCGTTTTTAGATAGACAGTTAAATTGTGCTTGTAACCGTTCACAGTAGTGTGTTTACCACACTGTTCACAGCAGAAACCAAAATCCTTTCGATCCTTTTCTTCATTTCCTACCAGACGTATCATTAATACAATAAATGTAAATTGCCACAAGTAAAACAGAACTTATTTTTAAAAACATTCCAACAACAAAATAGCAAAGAAAGCTAAGCTAGGTCTAATCAAACAGCTAAGGGAACTAAACTGAGGCGGGACTTGGGGCGGGAGTGGGACTGGGAGAGCTAAACAAAACAGACGACAGATCACAAGAAAAACTAGTTCTTCCTTATCAGTTGGCCAGTTTTTTTGTTTGCAATAAGTGGTCAGTCAGGCTGTAGACGCTTGTGTCGGTGTAGCAACAAGTAGAGATTAAAATAGTTTTTGTCAGAGCTTGATATAAATTGTTTCAAGTTTGAAACAATGTTTTACCTCAAAATTGAGCTACTGTATTTTTACGAATACTTCAGAAAACCAGCCCAACAGTAAGCAGTGGGCACTAGCTCTTCCCTTGTTAATGTTCTCTTGAAGGGCATCTTCTGTACACATTCGCTAATGTGTAGCGGCTTCTTGTGACCTTGAGGGTTGTGAAACGACTCCTACACTATCAATAATCAATTATTTAAGATGGGGACGCCACTATGTGCGTATTTTAACCCAAGAGTGAAGGATGAGTATAGTATGAGTGGCGCAATATTGTAGTCTTGTTAGTGTCTTAAGGCTGACATGTTCCTTAGACACAGCTGTTAATTAATAACTCAAACAGCTAATGACAACTAAGGAACCTACAGTTTATCGTGGAATCCGAACCACATTCTTGCCTTGGTATTAACGAATTGGTCTAATTATCAGGATAGTACTGTGGATAGTCGTAGTACTCACTAGTGCGGACGTTAATCCACACCAGGTAGTATCGCATCCACAGTGCATCCCTATAAATATCCAAAATTTGTTACCTCCTAGTAGCTGGATTACAGGACGATGTCACTGTCCCAGTCAAATGTACCCCTCAAACCCAGTGGCGGATTTAAGGGGAGGGGGTTATAGGGGTCATGACTTGGGGGGGCCCAAATGTTCTTGAAAACATTAAGAAATGGCTCTCGAATAGCGTTTATTTATTTTTCCTTATATAAGTTAATTGCCAAGTAAGTTAAAATAATAATTACACAAGTCTAAATTCAGCCGAGCGGTTTCCACTTAAAGGCACCTGAAGACATGGCTTAGGGCTAATATGGGTGAAGAAAGACTGACATGGTTGGCACTTTTCAATGTCCATCAGGATATTCATATATGAAGCCAAAAGTACCCATGAACTTTTGAGAAAACTACAAGTCACGCCTCCATAAACCATACACTTAAAATGTTCGTCATGACGAGAAACCTTGCACAAAACTATCCATTATTTCATAAATTGCCTTTTAAGGTCGTATTTCCTCTCTAAAGGGAACTTTCCATATACCAAATGTTAAAAATACTTCAGAAACTTATTTGTATGTTACTCTTACATTTTATTACCTTATTAAAATCAGGTGTTTGTATTACTAGTCCAGGAGCTGAGGGGGTTTGAGTATGCATAAAAGTGTAACGAAATTTGACTTTTGATTTTTGCTATGGGTACCTAGTAGATGAATAAAATTGATGTTGTCTCATTCCTAGATGATTAATAACATGAGTGGGAGGGGGTGAAGTTGGGGGGAGGGCCGCAGTGCACCACAAAATAGCTTATATCTCGAGAAACAAAAGTCGTTAGAGCGTTTGAAGTCGGTTGTATTTTTTACAAAAATTAATTATTTAATGATTTTTAGTGACTGTTATACTGTATATTAATTATTACTTAAGGGTGTTTGCATAGGCGGATCTAGGCCCCAAAATGTGGGGGGGCTAAACCGGGGGTCCTTCCCCCAAAAATGTTTGAAAAAAATAAGTTCCAAAGCGTATTTTAGGCTATTATGGAAATCAAAATAAAAGGAATTACGGATTCAGTGAACACGGTGAACATACTTGAAGGACCTTGTAATCGGCTAATTTACACATTATGGAAAATAGCTGCCACATAAGGTAAAAGAAAGGAACAGACTGATCCAAACCCTAAATGTGTGTGTACTGTGTACCAACCCGTAGTTTTCCGTCAAAATAAAACATATTTTTTGAATTTTTTTTCGGCACAGTTTGACATGTCTAACGTGTTCATTTGACTTTTGGTTCTCGAGATATATGCTATTTTGTGCGCCCCCCCAACTTCACCCTCTCCCACCATGCTATTAACTACCTAGGAATGCGACAACATCGATTTTCTTCATCTACGAGGTACCCATAATCAAAAGTCAAATTTCATTACACTTTTATCCATGCTCAAACCCCCTCAGCGACTATACTGTATTCTATTTCAGCTTAACTTAACCAATCAATAGTTTTATTAATACTTATGAAGTCAAATGGGATGAAGCCCTTGGATAATAGCTAGTTTTAATCAACACCGAATCTGTTATAGTTAGATTAGGCAAAAAGAAACATAGGCACGAGTTTGTTTTGTAATCTACAAAAAAAAAAAAAAAAAAAAAAAAAAAAAAAAAAAAAAAAAAAAAAAATTGTAAACTATGTAATGTAAATTTACATAATTAAAGTAGTATACAGGGTGTTTTTTTAAAAACTTGCATCTTTATTTATGTAAAAACCGCAATAGATAGAAATATGCAGTTTGCGGGAATCAACTATTGACTATTGATTGTAGGGGGCCCAATTGTTTTGAATTCAACGTTACATTCACTTTCCCCCCCCTGCCTCCAACTTATTATTTTTAAATAGCAAGGTACCGCTTGTGACATATCAAATGAAAGAGCATAAAAAAAGAAAATGTTTGATGAAAAAAAATTAAAAATCGGTTCGTAAATTTGCGAGATATTTCCCCCCCCCCCTTCCCCGGAACTTGATTTTTTTTAATAGCAAAGTACCCCTTGTGACATATCAAATGAAAGAGCATGAAAAAAGAAAATTTTTGGTGAAATTTATTTTTCATTTTATATGTCACAAGGGCGGGTACCTTGCTATTAAAAAACAAGTTACGGGTAGGGGTAAAAGGGGGGGATTATCTCACAAATTCAAGAGCCGATTTTAAATTTTTTTCCACCAAAAATTTTCTTTTTTCATGCTCTTTCATTTGATACGTCACAAGGGGTACTTTGCTATTAAAAAAATAATCAAGTTCCGGGGAAGGGGGGGAAATATCTCGCAAATTTATAAACCGATTTTTAATTTTTTTTCATCAAACATTTTCTTTATTCATGCTCATTCATTTGATATGTCACAAGCGGTACCTTGCTATTTAAAAAAATAAGTTGGGGGGGAATGTGAATGTAACGTTGAACTCAAAACAATTGGGCCCCCTACTTCAATAGATGATTCCCGCAAACTGCATATTTCTATCTATTGCGGTTTTTGCATAAATAAAGATGCAAGTTTTAAAAAAAACACCCTGTATATAAATTGTCAGCTTAAAAATTGCTTATTTGTTTCTCAGTATTATTTACTCCTCTTTACATCTTTAATAGAACTTACCAAACTATGAATTTTTTTCACTAATGTTGTCATTTAAATTCTTGGGTGTGGTGGTGGAATTTACAGTATTATTTGGAAAAAAATTGGTAAAATAGGAGAAGAGAATTATTTTGTTTTATTTCTGAATTCTTAGGCTGTTAAATAAACAAGATAAATGTTCTCTACACTAATAGCAAGAAACTAAAATAGTGCAATAAAAATGGTCTTTTAATGTTTTTTGCTTGCCTTGCTTAACAATATAATTTCTCATATTAAGTTTTCAGATGGCCTAGAAATTCGTTTTAGAGTCTTACAAATCTCTATAATTTTCACCAAACCGATATTTAGGAATTTACAGTATTATTTGGGAAAAATGTGGTAAAATAGTAGAGTAGAAGAGAATTATTTTGTTTTATTTCTGAATTCTTAGGCTGCTAAATAAACAAGATA